TTTTCCATGGTTATTGTGAATAACTGAAAGATGTCACTTTGAGGATTAAGGTGTGTCTCACCCAGCTTTCCACTGATATATGTATATATATATATCCATAAGGTTTTCAGTGACTAATACTTGGAAATAGTCTGTCTCTTCTTCTTCAAAGTCTGTCTTAGTCTGGAAGCTCAGCTGAAACCTGTGCCCCAGGCGTGGCTTTACTGGTGTTTAAAGTACCAATGGCAGAGCCATCACAATACAACAAACTGACAGACAAGCGGTTAGTCAACTCTCTAGCCTGTAAACAATTTCCCCTTCCCTCTCATCCCTAATAACCACCATAAAATGTTTCTTTTATCCGGAAAACATTTTCTTAACTTTTACAACAATGGTCTTATACAATATTTGTCCTTCTGTGATTGACTAATTTCATTCAGCATACTGTCCTCCAGGTTCATCCATGCTGTTAGGTGTTTTGCAGATAGATTATTATTCTTCAACATTTCATTGTATTCCATTGAATGTATTTACCAATGTTTGTTTAACCATTCTTCTATTAATGGGCATTTGGACTGTCTCCATCATTTTGCTAATGTGAATAGTACTTCAGTGAATTTTGTTTTGCTTATGTCTATTCAAGTCATGGCTCTTATTTCTTGAAGCTACATATCAAGTAGAGGGAATTTTGGTCATGCAGTATTTATATTTCCAAATTTTTGAGAAAGTGCCATATCATACTCCACAGTGCTTGTACCATTTTACAGTCTCTCCAGCTGTGCAATAGGGTTCCAGTCTCTTCACCTTCTTCAGCATTTGTTGTTTTCTGTTTGTTGTTTTTAAAACTCTGATTGTAATGTTGGAGTAAGATGATATCTTACTATTGTTTAAATTTTCATCTCTCTAATTGCACCAGACTGCAAAGCTGCTTTAACTGCAAGGCTGGTGGTTGAAGCTCACCAGCTGCTCCTCAGAAACCCTATACAGGCTCGCTATGGGTCAGAACTGACTCAACAGCATTTAACAACAATAACAACAAATTGCTAATGATTACCATCATTTCTTCATATGTTTGGTGAAGTCTACTCATGTCCTCCACCAATTTTTAATTGGATTATTTGTCTTTTTCTTGTTGAGGTGTTGAAGTGTTCTATACATTCTATACATTTTAGCATAGTCCTTTGTCTGATAAAGGAGCTCTGGTAGCGTAGTGGTTACGAACCGGGCTGTGAACTGCAAGGTCAGCAGTTCGAGACTACCAGATGTTCCGTGGGAGAAAGATGAGGCTTTCTGCTCCCGTAAAGATTTACAGCCTTGGAAACCCTATGCAGGGTCGCTATGAGTCAGAACCAACTCCACAGCACATAACAACGACAACAATATTTGTCTGATATGTCATTGCCAAAAATTTTTCCTCCTGCCTTTGGGTTTCCTTCTTATTCTTTTGGTACAAATAAGTGTCTAATTTTTATGAAGTCACAGTTATCTTTTTGTTTCCTGCTTGTGTGTTTCTAGTTATATTTGACAATGAATTTATGCCATGCATCAGAACCCCTAAGCTTGTCCCTATTTTTTCACTGATGATCTTTATAATTCTAGGTTTTACATTTAGGTCTTTAATCGACAATGATTTCATTTTTTATATGGTATAAGGTAAGGGTCATGTTTTACTCTTTTGCAAATACATTTCCAGTTTACCAGCACCATTTGTTGAATAGACTATCTCATTCCCATTTAATGTATTTTGGCTTTTTGTCAAAGATCAACAGACTGTATGTGGATGGATTTACTTCTGGGTTCTCAATTCTGTTCCATTGATCTATGTATCTTTCATTGT